TTTCTGTGGTCACCCACTGTTTACAACAATCTGCCATTGAGATGATAAATAGCAACAACAGGACAAGGAACACAGAGCAGAGCGAAGCGGAGAGGTGAATAATGTAGATGCAAATAGTGCTCTTTGCATCTCAAATGACCAGCCCTCAGTCTTCACGACTTGTAAATAAACGCACAATAAAATACGCCCCGCGTTCCCAAGCCAAAACACACTCACATCCTAAAATACCGCGGCTCTGACGACTGAGATAGTACCGCTCATCAAATTTATGCGTGAGCGAACCCAGGCTAAATTTACTGCCAAGCGAGCCAACTTACGCAATCCCCTCCCTGGTCTCCCTCCTGTCTGTTCGGTGGCTTCGGAGTCTTACATCTCAAAGTATCCCAGCCCTCCCCAGGATCCCACCCCCACAATATACGCTACAACTTTGACACTATTCCTGTAGCAGCACAAAAATACCAGCACCTCCAAGAACAGACGCCGAGCCCGTCAGAGCATCATCACATCCCACATGGCAGCTGGGAGGGAGAGAGAAAGAGAAGAAGAGAGAGAGAGAGGGAGGGAGAGCAGGTGGAGAGATGAACACAGCTGCTGTTGAGAAATAAGGAATCAACAGAGAAACTTGGGCTTTTCTGTTCGCAGCTTTTAATCCAGGCGGATCTGATGCAAACTGTTTCTCCACGCTTTGATCTGGATCAGCTCTCTTCCTCTCAGACAGCTTGTGCAAAGCTTCTGATTCACTTTTAAGACGTAGAGTCACCTCAACACCAAGTCAGAGAAAACTTTAATAGCTTTTAGGAAATCTTCAGCTTAATCCGCTGCATTGTTGGCGTAAAGTTCATAAGGAGGAGATTATTATCCAACGTATAAAATTATTTCTTAAAAAAAGACCTGGGTGCACATGTTTGAAATGTTTCTTAATCCCAAAGGTTCAGCTTAGAAAGTCAAACCTTGAATACTTTGGTTCCTTCAGTACGTCACAGGGCCTCCTCACAGTGAGACCCAGAACACACCGGAGGTGGATGCACTTTTTTTTTTCCGGCCATATTTTTCTCTGGATATTTGATTCATTCTTTGTACCAGAGTTGGTCGATTTGTTGTGAATTATGTTGTTTTACTGGCACAGTTTACAAATTTCCAACTGAGTTGAGGTTGGAGTTTTGGGAAACCAATCCCAGGATCTTAATCTTAGCCAACTTCGTTTGTTTCAAAACAAGCATTGGTGCGTACACCTTCCTCCTGTTCTGACTATACAGCGTTATGTTCTCAAAGGGCGTGGGGAGGGATTACGGAAAATTGACTTTGTTTACCTTCATATCTTGTTCTAATGTTATTTCCTCATCGAAAACACAACTGGAGTGCTTCTTTGATTCTGTCATAAATGTTTTTTATCAGTAATTAGCAGTAATTAGGAAACACCTGGTGGAACTGCTCCAGTGTGCTTGGTTTAGTAAATGAACCACAAGCTCCTCAGAACAGATGCAAACGGCATAATGAGCAGCATTGTTGTGATGATGAGCTGAAGGCGGAAAGAGCAGGAGCTTCTTAAAGAGACAGAGACCCAATTTCAAAGCGTCAAAATAAGAAGTCAAACTTCTTTTTAGTTATGTGTGATACAATATTTTTTTATAGCAACTGGAGGCAACATATTTAATTGATTGTGCTAAAAAACTGCCTGGAAATGGTTTGGGTGTGGTTTATAATGCCCCTTTAAATGCAAAATATTGTCAGTGACTACATTTGACACAGGAAAGGACAAACATTAATTTTAGTTAGAAGGTCTGACTTCCTTTTATTGATTTGTGCTTTCTTGTATGACCGTCTAAATGTTCCTCACTCAATCCAAGTCCCATTATCAAATGACAAAGAAATCTTTTGGAGAGTTTCAGTATTTACAAGTCAAAGACAAGTGTTGGATCTAAACACAAAGTTCAACCGCAGCAGTGGCGGGCAGTCCTAAAAGAGAAAACATTTAGGGCTCTGCCCCGCCTGTATGGTCTACACACAGGTATAACTGTACGTTGTAAACCGAATGGACAAATGTTGTGACTCCTTGCATTTCACCGTAGAGAGACATTCAATTTGTCCAATTGTCCAGTTTAAGACTCGGTATCTGTAAATCATAAATGACATCAGCTGATTGTTAGTAATCACTCTGACGGCATACGGAGAACGAGGCCGCTGCTGAATGTCGAGAACATCTGTGCGACTCTTGTGATGTGACTCACGTCGCTCAAATAATAGATGCAAGGAAACGAGGAGGAAGCCCAAGGCTCTGAGACCAACACAGGAATCAGCGAAACAGGTGAAAGTGAAAAAAAGAGTGCAAATCCCTGAAGAGACTCGTAAGACTCAGTAGGTTCTTTCTTTTCTCTCCTTTTTTTCTTCTTCTTCTCCTCCTCTCTCTCCATCACAATGTAGATGGATGGTTGCTGAGGGCAACCTGTGTGTACTCACCTAAGGATGAACAGGAAGTGCTGTGTGAGTGAAGCGGCTATTTATAGCAGCATGTGTAGAAAGGACATTGGCTCACTTGTGCACCTGTTTGTGTGTGTGTGTGTGTGTGTGTGTGTGCGTGTGTGTGCGTGTGTGTGTAGATGCAAGCACCTGTGATTGTGTGTATGACAGAGAGAGAGAGAGAGAGAGAGAGAGAGAGAGAGAGAGAGAGAGAGAGAGAGAGAAAGAAAGCAGCCAGTATGTAACAGGGAGGAGGAGGATGCAGATTGTGAGACTCAGACGTTTACTAGAGAGAACAGGAGGGGAGGATGGTGGGGGGTGAAGGATGGATGGAGGGAGTGAGGGAATGCAGTGGAGGAGGGGGCGAGTGTGTGTTGACGCTGTACGTGGCGTCAGCGCGATAAGAATAGAGATGGTGCGTATAGCTGAGACATCACCCTCACACCCTCTGTAGGGCAGGCAGTACTCACTCTGAGTGTGTGTGTGTGTGTGTGTGTGTGTGTGTGTGTGTGTGTGTGTGCGTGTGTGTGTGTGTGTGTCAGTGGGTACATGTGTGTACCCAGATATTTCCCAGAGTATGTTAATGTGGACATGGATGAGTAAACTGTTACATAGATATTTATTATTATTATTATTTATTTATTTGCCTGTTATATAAGTGCAGTTATGTGACCATGTTTTTTCCACGTTTGGTTAACAGGAACGCATTTTATTTATGTAAAGGAAATCTAAAGTGATTACGACATAGTTTATTATTATTATTATTATTATTATTATTATTATTATTATTATTATTATTATTATTATCATCATTATCATCATTATTATTAAATTAACCTCCCCCCACTTGACAATGTTTCTTTAAATCACCACAAGCTTGTCGCCCACGCTAGAAAAAGAAAAAAGAAAAGAAAGTCACATAATTAGAAAAATGCTGAGTCAGCCTTTTATCCGAGTAGTTTAAAACTTAGAGGAAAAAAACAAAATGCATCTTGAAATTGTTTTGTGGCAGAAAAAAAAAATGTTTTATTTGCTTATTGCTGTAATATCAAATCAGTTTAACAACCAAAAAGACGTCACTGGAGTAAATTTTCAAATTATTAGAGAAAAAACTGTGTAGATGCGTCTGCTCTCTTATAGAGCTCTTCCGCTTTCCTTGGCGTACATTTACATTCAGATCATTGAATAAATATTAATATGGAAGATATTACAAATTGGCAGAAATGCAAACCTTGTGGGACCCTTGTTTTTTTGTTGTTCTTTTTAAAAGAAAAACAGTTCCCCCTAATTGTCTGCAAGTCTTTTATCACTGTGGAGGGATTTTGTTTCATCTTTCATTGGAGTATTGTTGAAACTAGAGGAAAATTCAAGCATGAGCATGCTGTTTAATTCAGTCAGATTTAAGTCTGTACTTTGACTGGACCACACTAAAATCTTTCAGTTTTTATTGACTACTCAGAGTTTACTGACAGCAAAGCTTCTTCTTTGGTAACCAGGTTTGACTTGAGGTATGCTAATCTTTTTTTTTTTTTTTTTTTTTTCCTGAAATCCGTAGTTAGGTCTACATCGGACGTAACAGGACACGGGCTTTCTGAAAATTTCCACTTTTTTTTTTTTTTTGGATAAAGGTGAGCTTGACCTTTGTGTTGCTTTTGGTCTGTGGGGGTTTTGGACAGGGCGCTCTGGTTTCTTCTCGTTGAATCATGAACGCCGCTGACCTTAACAGAGGCAAGTGGGGCCTGCAGGGAATAACTTGTTGTTCTGGGTTCTTTTGTGACCTTCTGGATAAATCGTTGCTGTGCTCTTAGAGTCATTTTGGTCGGCTCCCGGAAAGGTTTTCCAATAACCCACAATGTGGTTCACTGGAGTCACGAAGCCTTAGAAATGGCTTCGTAACACTCTGATGTCAGCAGCCTTCTCAGGTTTATTTTTTTTCTCCCTTGCACTAGTGGCCTTTTATTGACAGCTGCCAGACAGGAAATGGACAGAGAGAGGAGTTGGGAAGACAAGCAGCAAAGGACTGAATGTTGGGAATCAAACCCAGGACTGCAGCGTTTGTGACGCCTGTTCTACCACTACACCACGCACCATTATCCTCTGATATTGATCCATTCTTGAATTTTTCTCAATTTGAACCTGAGGTGTTGGGAATTTTCTAGATTTTTTTTTTTGATGGCAGCTGATTTTTTTAGACCTTTGCTGAGGTCGGTAATATTGACTTCACATGTATCGGCCGATAACTGATGACCAAATAAAAAAAAAAAGAAAAATAAAAAAATCAAGAAAACCGGTGCCGATAAATTGTTTCACCCTTAGCATTTGTTTAATTATCTGACATATTAAATGTGGGAAACAAAAGTAATCTGTAAAGGTGCTAATACTTTTTCATAGCACTGTCACTAAATGCATCTATTTATAATAAAAACAAAACATTTCTAAAAAGGAAGTCTATGTAAAAGTAAAAAAAGACAGTTATGCTGCTCTTAAAACCGACATCTTCTATGACAGAAAAATGAGCTCACAGGACTCTTGTTCATTTTCAGATTTCACTAAACAGTTGTGCTTCATCAGCTGGATTCGCACCATGATCCCCATAACAGAGAGCGAGCGAGCGCTAGGTGAGGCTTCCTGTTTTGAGACGTTTTTAAGCTGTGTGCTCCTCTCCTTCTGCTGGTGCCTTCCATTAATGACTTTAATTCTCAGCTTTGCAACCATACTCCCCCTTGGAACCCAAAGACCAACTATCATAAAACCTCTTCCTGGCAGGGTGTTTACCACACCCTGCCAGGAAGAGTGTGGGAATAGCGCTGCTACATCAGAAATTGCTATTAATTAAGATCAGAAACTAAAATGGTTTTGGGTCATTTTCAATAAAAATTGTGTGTGCGTAGCTCACGGTAGTGCCTTTGAGAATTAAATCTGTTTGTTTATAACCAGCTCTTCACTGGTCGTGACGTCTTTTTGTTTGGCATCTTTTTTCAGATCTTGAGAGTTGATGTTTTTAATAAAATAGTAAGAATGTAAATGGTTTACTTTTTTAAGACTTCTCTAGTTAAGAGAGGAAACTATCCGCTGTGGGACCATAACATTCAGGGGGTGCCGGGTGGGAGGGAGTGGTGGGGGGGCACGCTGCTCTAGGATTGGCTGGTTTAAAAATGCCAGCCAATCATCTATCAAGTAGAATTAAACAAAGGTATTTCGGCTTATCGAGCTGCACTTTCTTTCAGACATTTTAGATATGCTCTACTAAAAAGAAAACAAATCAGCTAATTGGCTAAATTGTCCACAAATAATGTGGAGTTGAGCTCCAGGGAATCTGTCTGGGTCCTCCATGACATGCTGTCGTTAAGAGGTAAGAATTGGACAGAAAATTAGCAGAGAACAAAACAATGACGTCTAAAGAGTAAAAATATAACAGAAGTCTGTTTCAGGAGGAGCTCTATTGGTTTTAAAGGAAGAGTTGAAGACCTTTCCTAATTTTATTTAGATAGCAGAAAATGATGACAAATATAAAAAGCATGCATCAAGATTAACTGGCAAAAATCATGAAAACTTAAATCCAAGTTGGTTCAAAACTTGGAAGAAACAAAAATACTTGGTTATATTCAGTCGACTAAATAAAAAACACTAAAGTTTGAATACGAAAGTGAAAGCTTGAAGCAGCCTATTTTTTTTAATTATTCAGAAATATTTAACCACTCTAAAAGTTGTTGATACAAGAACAACAAGAAAACTTAAACGAAGAGAACTTTCCTTACAGAACACGTTACATTTTTATTTTTTTCATCCCGCCGACGGCTCGTCTCGCTCCACCTGTAGCTCGTCTTCGTGCTGCTCCTTTACAGAACCAGAAACTGAAGCAGCCACTGAGCAAAAAGGAGAGCAGAGAGCAGAAAGGTCCTGGTCAGCTCTCGCTGGTCAGCGTGAACTCGCGATACGAGGAAAACGTTCGTCTACTCACGGAGTTGATGCCTCTGTCTTTCACCTCTGGGCTCGTCTCGGACTCAAACAGAGCTGAGGAGAAGGGAGGAACACATCACTGCATGTTGCGTCTTCTCAGAAAGAAGACACAAAAGAAAAATCATGCGCATGCTAATTAAATGTTCCAGGTAAAACACTGAACTGTAATGAACAGCTCGGAGAATGATTGACAGCGAGTTCTTAAGGAAAGCAGAAATAATTGGAGACGTGTCTCAATTGCAGGGATATTTTCCAGGTACTACCCCGGTTCTCCGAGGCCCTTCTCCCCTCCCCCCCTCCTCTGTTTTCAATTTTACTTTGCGTTTAAAAGGTTTAAATTAAGTTACCAGGGGAGAAATTTATCCAGGAAACAAACCCTGGTATGTAGGATCTGTTTTACATTTACAAGGATGTTTTGGGCAAAGTTGTGTCAAGGAAAAAGTCTCCAATGAGAACAAGCAGCGCGTTCCAGCCTTGAATAGTCAAAGAGCAGCATTTGTTAGGTTGCGTGAGACCTATTCTACTTATTATTAACCAGGTGTGAGTTACCGAAGAGTTTGCGCAGCCTGGAGATGCAGGAGACGAAGCCACAGAAGGACAGGTGAGGCTCTCCGCTCAGAAAGCGCTCAGAAAGGAGCTGGACCACCTTGCTGTCGCACTTCATTCCTGGCAAACAAAAAGGACAAGCAGAGGTGCAAATGCAGCAGCAGAACGCATGTTGGGGTGCATGTTGCTGCTGTTGTTGTTTGGAGTTCCCGTTCATACCGACTGCTTCCAGTGCCAAGCTGAGCTCGAAGGGGCTGATGCTTCCAGAAGAGTCCTCGTCGAACTGAACAAAGATGGACTGAAGAGGAAAGAGAAACATTAGCGACAGAAACACCACCTTCTTTTTCCTTCTTAAGTAACGACTCTTGAGGTGCGAGCTTCACCTGCAGAGCGCGCAGATCAGCCAGCACGGTCTCGGCTTGTTCACGACTGAGGGTGGAGCGCCCCTCGGTCTGCCAACAGAGTTAAGATGACAGCAGGAGGTGAAGTTAGGAGTACAGAGACTGTTTGTGCACCTTAGTGAACCATCGGTGGCACAGGACTACAAAAAGACAGGAAGAGCGAGTGGAGGACAAAAGGATACATCCTCTCCGAAGATGATCTGCCTGCACGTCTCCATAGGCAGGTGGCAACTTTTGTCAAACACTGTTTTTGGGACAGAAAGACGGGACAGTGGTGAAAGACGACGACAAGTGTCTATATGTCACAGTCCCAAACCAAGATGAGTTTATTTTTGCCTCACTATAGCAACAAGCCACCGTCTAGACGGATGACCTCTGATTCCTCTCTTCATGTCATATTGCTACTTTGGCTCCATCTAGTGGCTAAAAAGAGCTACAGCAGCTTCCTTTGTGCAACAACAATGAGAACACCGCAATAAAATCACAGATCAAACCTGAGTTGATCAGCTTCATGATCTCTTGAGCGTTCAGCCTGTCATCCTGCGGGAGGAAAAACAAAAATCACAGTGAAATCCAAAACATTATATATATTTTTTTAATATATTGCCGAGGTCACGAAGGGGAACAGCTCTTACTGGGCCGGCCTTCTCATCAAAAGTCTTCTCAACTTTGGTTTGGTCCTCGGGGAGGACAGGAGCGGCCATAACCTGAGTGAAAGGCACAGTTCAACCCAATCGGTCAGGAGGAATCTCTTGAAGCCGAGTGTGTGTGTGCAAACTCACTGGTAGGTAGTCAGAGGAGCAGGTAAAGTCCTGAACCCTGGATGTGACAGAAAACAGCAGTGAATCTCTTGAGAGCCGTTCTTTATTTGAAGCTCACGCCACACTGCAAGATTTTGTGCAAGAGTCCGACGTATTAATTTGACTTTAGCTTGTTCAATGAACCGTGTAGTCGCTGATGGTCCTCTGCCTGGTCAGGTCTTCATGTCCAACCCAGCTGGGTTGTGTGACCAGAACTTTATGACATTGACAAAAAGAAACAAAACAAAACAAAAAAAAAGATCCTTCATCTCACCCAAGAGTGTTTCTTGTTTTGGAGAAAATGCGAATGAAGAACTCTGCCGGCTGGTTGGGCCGATAAGTGGATCCAACGATGACGTAGTGACCCGGATCCAGACGCAGCTTCCTCCAGACGCCCCTGTGGGTCCGAATCAAGAGGCATTTTATGAACAGTTCAGAGTACGGTGTAAAAGTTTTTAAGTCAGCCATGATTGGTTTAAAGCAGCAGCAAATGTTTAGAGAAAGATCATCAGAAAACTTTGAAAAGCGTAAAAAGCTTCTAGCAGCATCCATTTTTTCTTGCTCATGAAAGCCAATGATCTCTACTTCAAACTTTTTAGATAACCTGAATTGATCTAAAACTTCAGGTTATCTTTTGATAACTTTGTTTTAAAACTGCGGTAGGCAGCAAAACAATAATTCAAGGTTGAATTTAGACAAACATTTTTGTCAGATTACCTTAATTTAACTATTTAAACTCCTCTTCTGTTATTTACCTGAGAAATATAAACGTTTCCAATTGGCTCTGGATCTTCAGCTACTTCTGTATGTAGAGGTTGTGATTTTGAAAAAGTCTTTTCTCCTTGCTTTTGTACATTGAAGTTTAAATAAAAGTCTGCTCCAGATTTTCAGGCTAAAGGTAAACAGTCTCACCTCTGGGCCTTGTATGAACCAGAACGACCCACTGGACGGTTTTTCATGAAGAAGCTGCGGTCCAGGCAGGCGCCCTGCATCTACAAAGAGAAACAGACAAAAAAAAACAATGAAAACTTTACAGAAATATGACATGACTTGGACGTTACGTAAAGCAGATCATTTGTAACTTACCTCAGGAGGGACCTGAGAAAAAGAACGACAACAGATGAGTTTACGGGAGAACATGAGCTCGGACGCCCTGGATGTGACGGACTCGTTTAGCTCTGACCTTGTAGACGTGGAAAGCGATGTGCAGGAAGTTGATCTTGTCATTCTGCCGGCGGTTTTTCTGCAGCAGCTCCACCAGCACTGTGCAGTGCTTCGCTTTCTGCTTCTGCGTCTCAGTTTTGTTCTTCTCTTTCAGAACCTCGTCGCCCTTGTCGACCTCGTCCTCGTCGTTGTCGTCCTCCTCTTCTTCCTCATCGTCATCTTCCTGGTCCTGCTCTCTGAGCACCAACTCGAACTGGGGGTTCTTCCAGAAGGACTCTGGTGTGAATTTAAAGAGGAAAGCAGCAGAGCTGTGGTGGGTGTGCGGACGGTTGAGGGCGGAGACCTGACCGGACGTACTGTTGTATTTGCGGCTGCCGCCAGCGGAGCTTCCCGGTAGCCAGGAGCCCTTGTGTTCGCTGATGGTCCAGGTAGACTGGCCGGTGGACGCGTCTCCGTCCTCCAGAGAGTCTGGACTCACACTGCAGAGCTCCACAATGTTAAACATCGTGCTGAAGTCACGGGCGCTGATCCTGAAACACAAGTTACAACTGGATCACTTGCCGCTCCCACAGGTTAGCGTTTAGTCTCTCCTCCGTACCAGAACTCCCCGTCTTCTTCCAACTTGAGCTCGAGCCGCTGCTTCTCCGACTTCTCCATGTCCTCCCACTCCTTGCACCTGCAGTGACGGACACGTGCAGAGGAGAAACTCAGGCTGTGCAAACATCGAATGAGCCGCTCCTCTCTGATTTGTCTCTTGCTCACTTGTCACTCCAGGAGCCGCAGAACTCAACAAAGCCCCACGGGTTCCTCAGCTTCAGCAGCAGAACCTCCTCCGATCCTCTTGCTACCTGAAACATTAACAGGACGAGGAGGAATAAATGAAATTCAAACGCTTCACCGCAAAAAACACAAAGTCCTACTTGATCCTTTTGTCCAGTTTCTAGTGCAAATATGTCAGTACACTTGAAATAATACGGAAAGGCAACTTTTCGGCAACATATAGGAGATTTAAGTAAATAATTAGCTAGTATTGCTAAAAGAAGTTGTAGTTCCACTGACATATTATTTCACTTATAACAAGACATGTTCCCCTTTAATAAGAGAAATCATCTACATGTGGAGCTAATACTTTTTCATCAATGTTAAGGAATTATTTACTTTAAAAAGCTCCTATATCTTGATAAAACGTTACTTTTGAGTTACTTCTAAGATATTTGCACTAGAAACTAGAAAAAAAAAATTTTGTATTTTTGCAGAGTTTCGAGAAGTCACATCAATGATAAAAAAACCCCAGAAAATAAAATGAGCTTTGAGGTTGTGAGATAACCAGAATTCAGGTTAAGATGATTGCAATTAAATGATGGCAACACATTTAAACAGAGGTTCCTGTTGAAGATCATCATATGAAGTGCAATAAAAAATTTTAATGTTTGCTCAGAATATCTAACAAATAGACTTTAATATAAGCAATAATTTATTTTATTGTTCCATGTTTTTTTTGTTAGTGTTTTTACAAATGTGACTTCATTAGAAAGATACTATTGCCATATTGAAGCTTAATCTTTGCATTTTTTTTTTTATCGGTCCGATGTAAAACTCTAACCTTAAACATCACATATTCGTTAGCTGTGAGTGAAAGTAAATCTTTTTTAACAGAAATAAAAGCTTGAAAACATCAAGCTTTTAAATTAAATGTAATTAAAGTCCATCATTCAGTGGATGGAGTTACGGAAATAGCAATGTTCTAATTTATCTGACATGACTGTACATCCTTTCATTTTGAAAATGTGTTAACGATATGTTAAAAGTTCCTTCTTTTTAATTTTACAATTTAAACATTTCGTTTCAGAATGAATAGTTGAATCAGCACGAAGTTAGACGATTAAAAGAGGACTTGGAGGAATGTGAAAACCGCGTGGAGGTAAACCCAGACGGCAGCATGAGTTTTCCTGACCTTGTCTGTGTCCGTGATGGCGTAGGCGTGGCCCTTTACCAGCCCGTCCGCCGTCACCTTGCCGACCTCGCTGTAGCTCGAGGCCTGTTGAGGGACATAAAAGTTTCTCAGCGGGGAAAAGTCTCGTATTCCAGCGGCGTGGCGCCAAACGCTCAGAGTACCTGGATGAAGCAGCTGAGCAGGCTGCCTCTGGACAGAGCGGCGGTCAGGATCCTCCAGAGGACCGGAGGGGTGCGGGACGTGACAGGAAGAGAGTACGCGATGCCTCCCGTGAAGTCCTCCATGCCCTCCGAGATGTTGCCGCCCTTCAGGCTCCCGTAGGACCCCACCAACCTGCGACAGAAGGTGAGGGGCGTTTATCTGCAGCGGCTGAGAGTTTGACTGCTGAAGGGACACACACACACACGCAGAGAGAGTGTGTGTGTGTGTGTGTGTGTGATCATAGTCATTACAGCACAGGAACATATGCTGCTAGTGGCAACTGACTTGGCATAGGCCTTCTCCACCAGGGCGCTCCAGAACTCGTTGCGGGTGCGAGAGTAGCTGAAGAGCAGACGGCCGTCGCGCACTGGCAGCCTGTCGTCCACAACCACCTCCACCCACTCACCATACTGCCAGAACTGCACAGAGAGACAGAGAGGAGGACTGGATGTGATGAGTCAGGAGGAATTACGCAGAGTGTGAACTTTGTGTTCAAAGCCCCGATCTGTCCTGCACGAACACTGTAAACAACAATAACGATATTTTACAAATTTAAAAAGTTTGTTAGAAATATGTCAGAGAAGGACGCCACTTCACCTCGTGTTTCTTTGTTTTCATCAAAATACCTGACAGAAACAAAGTTGCTGAATCATACTGCTTGTAGACAAACTCTGACGTTTATTCTGAATTTGCATTTTGCAAAGGCGAGCTGACTTTGTTGGGTTAAAGCGCATCTGAAAATAATGAAACCGTTTTAAGGCAGGTTTCTCAGTCGCTCTGTATTTGTACATCTTCCCATCTGGTCTGATCAGCTTCCCTGTGTGTGATATATATATATATATATATATATATATAATATAAAATATATATATATATATATATATATATATATATAAAATCACCACAGCATGATGCTGTCACATTGCACTCATCAAAATGTAATGTTTGTTACTGTGTGATGTTTTCTATGGCTTTGTATTGTATTTTTTGTGTTTTTATGACGTCAAGCACTTTAGACTTTATTGTTGCTGAAATGTGCTACATGAATAAACTTGATTGATTCATTGCGGTAATATATAATAAGCATACAAAGCATACATGTTTATTATTTATTTAAGCAGAGTTACAAAAAAAATTACATATCCAATAAAAATCAAAAACATTAAACTGCAGACAGATGGGTGCTTTACATACTAATGTTTTAGACAAGATGTGTGGATTGTGTTTTATGTTGAAAGAATGTTTAATGAAACTAATCAAATTAAAAACAGCTAATTTAATACCTAAATAATGTGAGACTTGGGTTTCTGGGAGTAGCTCAGAGCAGGCCTGGACTGGTCTTCAGTGACTGCTGCTGTGTGTGGTCCTGCCTGGCGTTACTCACACTGTTGGGACATAAACCTGTTTGGATGATGAAACTCTGAGGGAAACACTACTGGCAAGTCGCTGCGTCCGAATAAAGCAGCAGTAGCAGTGAGATTCGCATTAGAATAAATCTCTGGGAACTTTCTGCAGGTCCTCCGGAGTAATGGACACACACCTGTAAAGCGAGTGTGTGTGTGTGTGTGTGTGTGTGTGCGTGTGAGTGGGTTTTTTCCCAGGAGGTACCACTCTGTGCACGTCCTGGCGGCTCTCTGCGGGTGAAACGAGCCTCAGTCCTGCTTGTTCAGTCACGCCACATTCTCCCCTCTGAAGGTCCAAAAGCTCCGGGGGGTGAAATCATCGCTCCTCCGTCTGCTTGTTTTTGTGAACGCGAGACGTCTACCGAGGTTAATTTCATTGATCTGAGCGGGTCGGAGCCAGAGAATGTTGACTTTAACTACAATGTCTAATGAGCTGATAGAGTTTATGCTTTTCTCTGACGGAGCGATCGCTCACAGATGAGTTGATACCTGTTCAAAGCTGCTGTGTCAGCAGCCAGAGGAGCAGACATCAGATTACGCTTCTCTGAAATGACGGAGCCAAATCTGATAAAATGTTAATAAATTGAAAGAATCTGTGACCTGAAGCAAATGGGAGCTTTATCATTATTCATAAATCAAATGTAATTGTTTATGAATAAACAGTCTGATGATACAGTGCAAAAATATGAACTCATCTCTGAATGTTTATGTTTTGTTTCCGTGGAGCTAAACTATCTCATAACTTAAACTTTTGATGGATGCTGAACGTTATGGTCACTTTTTACTCTTCTTCTGCCCAAGCTGAGAAAATTCAAGAACTGATGGTGAAGATCACCTCAAAGGGAACAAAAACGTTGGTTTACACACCAGTTTCATTGGGATGTCAGGTATATTCATGTTCATACTCTGAATTACTTAAATTAAGTTGCATTAAGTTTCAGAAAGGTTGATTTAAACTTCATAGGTCGTGACAGGAATTCAGTTTCAGGTTTTTAAAGTATTCATAAGAATAAATGTTGTCTACCTTTTTTTTTTTTTTTTTTTTACATATTTAAGAAACCATATATTAACTATACTGCCAAGTAATACAATCATTTGCCTTTACACAGGTCTGAACATGAGGAACGTTTCTTTCTTAATCGTCAGGATTTCCTACCAGACCTCACGTTTACAGCTTAAACTCATCCTGGAATATTTTCTACAATCTTTAAGAGAAATGTTGACCATTCTTTCAGAAGAGTATCAGTGAGGTCAGACACTGATGTTGGACGAGAATGCCAACACTGTGGGTTGAGATGAGAGGGCAGGTGTCTGTGTTTTGACCCATTTTTTTTGTTGTTGTTTATTTACGTTGTTTGAGTTCATTATTGTTTTAACGTTGTCGTCATATAGTTTCATCTTTTTGCATTTTGTTTCTAATTAAATTTTATGCTCTATTCTTTGTGCATTTGACACTTTAACAAATATTTGTTGAAGCCGTCTGCAAGAAGCTGGACTTTATCCACCTGTGGTTGTGGGAGAAATTGATTTTTTTTCTACCAGGGACAGTAAATTATATTTTGTTTTAAAAAACCGGCTCTTGAGATGTTATTTTTAAATCTTATTTTAAATAACCAGATAATTGTGGAGGATGCTGTTTGTATGGGCTCAGGTTGGCACCAATGTTGGCTTAAAAAGTCTAAATCAAACATTTCATCTTCACCTATGAGACTTTTTGTTGCTGTTGTGTTTCATTTTTCAGAATTTGCCAGTCATTTTCCAACATTTAACAGTGACGTGCATCGTGGTTGTACAATTGTGCAAACTGATGATGGCCAATAATTAACCGTAATTAATTTGTCTCTTTTCACAGCTAAATGTGTTTCTAGTGTAACTCAAAGGTCTGACAGTAAAACCATCTTGAGAGATTTCCTTTCCACTAAATCAGTTAAACTTTTTGAAAATAAATCTAATTATTTCTTGACTTTTGTTTTGTTTCTGTTCTTCATGCTGCCCCTAAATTCAGGATGGTGTTTAATAAAACTGCTGTCATCAACTCCATGCGTTAGTTTTGCTGTTGTCTTTAATTAAAAGTTAAACGATTTTCTGATCATTGCTTCAGAGTTGTGGTGATAATGTTATAAGTTCTGGCTGCTTTTAAGTTTCATTAATGAAACTGAACTGAATGTGTTGTTCAGGCTCTCAAATTAAATTGCCATAGTGGTTTTATTATTATTGTTGTTGTTATTATTAGTTAGTATTGTTATTATTATCAGCAGTGGTGGTGATTGTTGAAGTTGCATTAGTAGTTATGGTTTAAGTAAATAAATGCATAAGTAACCTTTCTAATAGAAGCAGTAGATATTGAAAGTAATTAAACATACGTTGTTATTATTAATATTATTATTATGTTTGTTGGGTTTTTTGTGCTAATTGTCATTAACATAAATAAGTAGACGGAGTAGCTGTAGCATCTATTACTGCTGCACTCTGAGTGGTAGAATAGTTTTGTATTAGTAACAAAATCTTTGGTGATTGATTTTATCATTTTTCCTTCAGAGTGGTTCGGTTCATTTTTCTTAAAATTGACCTTGTTTGTCACCAACGCTGAGTTTGAAGCTGAGGAAGAGCAACAAAGCAAACAAAGCAGGAGGCGATTAAAGATGGCGGTCGGGGCGTGAGTCTTGATTCACCTTGAAATGGAAGATCCCTGCGTACGAGTCCGACAGGCTCTGGTTGGGGGGAACCACCTTAGCAAAGAGCTTCGAATGGACGGTGAGCGCGGAGAGGGCAGCCAGCAGCCAGCAGTTACCTGGTGAATGAAACAAGCGCACAGTCCAGTACGAAGCAACGGCATCTCTAGATTTCTGGTATTAGTCTAAAAGCGATTGCATGTTTTTATATTTTAGGTTTTGCATGTTGTTTGTAACACGATCCAGAGCAATGCAATAAGCCACATTCCTCCCCGACAGCAAACATCTGTTCTGTCGCCAGCGATGCTGCAGGAACCGTCTGCATCTGCGCGAATCTCAAGTTTTAAAGGAAACCACATGGTTAAAGAATTGGCTGCAGGAGGTGACTGATGTGTTATTAGACATATTTACACATGACTGGAGACCAAACTCTTCATTCCACAAATCCCATCAATGGAGACAATTTGATGCTGTGCAGAAAACTTTTATTATTATCATTATTATTAATTGTTTATAGAAAACAGGGCCAGTAAAATCAAGGGGATACAAAGGACTGGTCCAGTCCAAGAAATACTTCTGTCTCCTTCTTTGCCAATAAGAACAAGCTGCATGTTCTCAAACTGTCTGACTGTTTTAAGCTCATAATTCATGGATTTAAATCCTCCATGGCGTTATGCAACGCCAGTTTATAAGAAATCCATTGTGATTGGTGCTCTTACCTAGTTGGCCCTGACAGATATCTGTGGTCCCAATGGTGTCCTCCACAAATAAGGCATCTGCACTGATTTCCTTAAGAAAAGCAACAACAGCAACTGAGACCATGAGTGATTTAGTAAGAAGTCAAGACGGACTTTAAAAATGCTAAAATACAGTTTTTGGGGAGATAGGTGGAGATTTTGGGGAAAAATGTTATATCAAATTTAACTGACAAATTTGGGCAAAGTTTTTAAATGTGAAAAGATATTGGCAAAACATTAGAAATACACTCTTAATTGGGTTTCATTTGTTAAAAATATAACATAATTTATGGCAGTCACACCTTGGGTCGCTTCCATTTGATCTCCTTCGCTGGGTTTGGATCTTTGGGCATCCCGATGGACTTCTGCTCAGCAGGAAATGTGGGGTCAACAAACAGCTTCTTGTCCTTCAGACACTCCTGCAGCAGAGCGTCGAAGTCCTGGTTCTGGAACTTCACCGGGTTGTCGATGGAGCCGAGAGGGGCCGCAGCGCCGTCAGAAGCCATGTTGCCTGCAGGAGGAGGGAAACCCAACTGGTGAAAGATGCAAACTGAGAGCGGCTGGCATTTAAAAAGAAGAGTACACACCCACCGGATCCAAGGAGCGCCTCCCCGACGCGGTCCTGACCAGAAAGGAATGCAGAGAGGCCCCGGGGCCCCAGCGGAGCTGGAGTCCTGGTAATGACTCGGTGCCAACGAGGGCCACCATCACCTGAGCGGACAGGAAGAAGAGTGTAAAAATAGCAGTCCTACCATTAAGAGGCACTTCTTTCAGTTTCCTCCTTAACTTAGCTTTTCCTTCTTGTTTCTGTGTCTTAGATCCAGGGCAGGTAGATCCAGCTCAGGGTGTTTCTGTGAGATGATCTACACCCAGATTCCCAGAAAATACAGATACCTGTTTTTTCATGTTTAAAATCTGATCCTTGCAGCTTGAACGCCACACCCACAAATAGAAATAATAATAATAATAAAAACCTTTACTTGAGTATTCAATGGACAGAGAAACAGCAATCTACAAATGAAATTTGATGTTTTTATTTCATACTTCACTTTTTAGGGTAATTAGATGCGTGTTTGTGATCCATCGCTTCCCCTGGGGCAAAATAAGAGGTGACACGTTCTCTTCAAAAGGGGAAAGATGAGTGGATGTGTCATGGAAAACTGGAGCAGAGCGGCATCTTGGGGCTCCAAGACAATCATTAGGTGACATCTACATACGAACCAGCTGTTTGGTTGTGAAGCCAAAGGGAATAAGTGTCTGTTCTTGACGTTAAGAGATGCGAGGGAAAAAAAGTAATGCAGCCTCATGTTGGTAGAGAGTGGCATCATTCAGTGATGAAAGTGAAAACCATATTGACCTTACATAACACAGGGTAGAACAGAATATATAAAAAAGAACAGGATTAAGAACAGTAATTATGGTACTGTGCACATTAAGGACAATATCATGATATAAAAATAGTGTGCGGTTATCAGAAATGTTCTCTCATCCAAGGGATCTGCAACTGGGTAGGATAATTTTTATCTTTTTGGTTTTTTTTAAATGTACATAATCTGAATTTGCATTTGTCCATCAAAAGTCTAACAGACAATTTACAATATATGAGAAACAACAACTGTACAGAAAATCAGGAGCAGCGATGGTTACCCGCTGCTGGGAGGAAGGATCTGCGGCAACGCTCCTTTGTGCTTTTAGGATGCAGCAGTCGGTCACTGAAGGAGCTCTTTAGCAAGGATTATTTTACCCAGAATCCTTCTGTATCCCACCAGCCGTTCTAGAAAAGATGACAAGATTATGTCCACATTGTTTTAGCTAAAACATAAAAGATTTCTAAGATTAAACTCGTTTATAAGGAAGAATGTAAATCAGCCTTTCACCCTGAGGAAACTCTCCAGCTTTTATAAGACTCACATTAATCTGCTTATTAAAAATCACACCATGTTTGATTATTTCCCCCAGGTTGAAGTTTGATTTTTTATATTTAACTTAATTTGCACCTGGACTTCAGGTCACATATATTTAAAACTTCAGCAGCTTTAAAAGATCTAAAGACATTCCCAGAGGTGAGTAGTAACTAATTACATTTACCCATCTTATTATTTTCATTTTGGTCGATAAAATACCATGATTTGTACACAGCTTTGTATTTTTGTCTTTCTGATGACAATGTTCCAAATATCAAATCAGATATCAGTATTTGAGTCGTCTTTTTTCCAAATAGATTTTTTTACTAATACTTGTGTAGTTTAGTTTCTTGGCCAGCTACTTTTCTTTACTTTTACTTCAGTAAAAAATTTTTTGTCTTCTTCACTCCTCTGCAAGTTTCTCTATCGGAGACCAAATAAACAAAACAGGTTGCAGTTCCATAAAACAAGCAGCAGGGGGCGGTCTTCTCCACCGGTAGACCCGCACCATGTGGCAGCTAATGGTAACATGATTATTAGGTTTTTGTGAACCAGCGTAACGCGGTACTTTCACTGTCGCTGTTGAATTATTGAATATCTTATTTGAAAAACAAAATTAAGTACAAGATAAATATAAACAGATTTTACCCTTTTCCCCCCGTTTGCACTGCTGGTGAAAAGCTACTTGGCACCAACTTTATATCAAATGTTTTCTCTTGGTTGGAATATAAATGTGTTATTGTAGAAATGTGTGCTGTATGGGTGTATTAAAGGGTGAAATTGTAAAGCTATTATCCACTTTATAGCTAAAACTGACCTAAGTTTTCTTCATGGTCTAAGATAAAATGTATCAGGCCTTAAAAAAAACTATCTAGATTATATATGGCCTTTGTGCTAAATCAAAGACAGAAATGCAGTGGTGTACAGACACACTGTGGTCTACTGTAGTTCAGCACTGTACTACACATTTTCAGCTAAATGTAATTTGGGAATCACTCTGCTGGAGCTGAAATATTGTTTTCTGTGTGTCAAACCCTGTTTCATCTCCTATTTGTCTTCCATTCACAAACTAAAGGAAATATACTGTGTCTTTGTTATGACATCCTGCAACATAAGGATCCACTCACAGTAAAGTATTATATACAATTCAGTTATGTTTATTTATATAGAGTCAATTTACAAGGTCCTTTACCAAAACAGGTCAATCCAATTGAATCACAGATGTTTGATCATCGTTGTCAACCAGTGCTGTCAAGTTCATACTGGTTCAAATGTTTTCTGTCTAAGGAAACCCGGCAGATTTGATTTGCAGTGAGGGAAGCTGGGTTATGTGTTGAGCTCCGGAAACTCTCCTGTCTAAAAAGTTCACAGGTCACAGTTAGAAACAAGAATGAATACCTCCAATAGTCACATATCCTGGACTAATTAGAAAAAGCAACCAGAGTCTAAAGAGGACAACTTCTGATCAAAACTCGCTTTAAAAGACTTTTAAAAATCAGACACCGTGGAAGCAAAGCACAGTAAAAGCAGAACTATGTGCTTAATAAAACACATAAAATGTTTCACAAATATTTGTGATCTTGCTTTTTGATCCACTGCACCAACTCTGCTTCCTAATAAACCACTTAGAGCCATTTTCTCAAACTGGCTACAGGATGTTTCTGTGGTGGATGTTACAAACACGCAAAATATATTCAGGATTAAATTGTCTGCAAGACAAACAAGAAAGAATCAAATTAGATGTAAAGTTCATGAGAACCAACGACCAAGAAGATGAGCAGCTGAGTCACATTTTTCTTTGCTTTTTGAGACACTTCTCCAAAGAAAAGTAGAATGAAGACACTTCCTGCTTTTATCTGTGCTTTTTCACTTTTTGAAAACAGAAAAAGACTCGATTGATTAAAAATGATCACAACTTCAGATAAGCTGCTCTTTTCTACGTTGAGATCAGAGTTGCCAAGTTTCCTCCAACGTTCCCTCTTCAGGGATTATTTCATTGACTGAAATGTGAATTAAAACCCCGATCTATCAATCAATTATGCAATGCCACTAGGTGGGAATTTTACTTTGTTTCTTTTGTTTCAATGACGTACCATGAACTGAGTCAAAATCCTTTGCAGAATATCATCTTCTAATTTATAACCAGCAGTTTTTAAATACTGCTGTTTATAGCTATTTTCAACAAATGACAAGATAGTAATCAAGTGTTTTGACAAACCAGCCCATTATCAGAGTACTCATCAGTACTTTTGCTCTGTAAATAGTTACAGGAAGTCGTGGTCAGGACATCTTATGAGCTGGGGACCGGACTAAAAAGATCCGAAGTGCAGCTTTAGCGGCACTCAATATGGTCAGCAAGGCTTTCTACCCAGGGCAGCACAGACTGTGGGGCACCACAAAATGAAAGACATAAGACAGCAGGTAATGAAATTTGGCATGACTTAGTACTAAATTAATGAGTTATTTTTTAATACAGCTGAATTACTCTGCAAAGAGCGGATAATATTTAAACTCCAGTTTAAGATCCATGAAATCGTTATTTTAGTAAGAAGACACAAGAAATGTGTGATTGTACAACCTTTAGATTGAAAGTGAAAGTAAAATGTCAAAATCAGTTCATGTGATATGATTGTTGTTTTGCAGGATTAACTTTTCTGGGGAAGCGAGGGAATGTCTGTCGGCGTTCGGGACAGCAGAAGGGAGGCTCCATTTGGCAATGACCGTTGTATTTGTCCGTCTGTAAGTTGGGACGGCTGGTCAGCTCCAGTACAAACCAGTGTCCTGTCCAGACCCCTTCATCATACGCTCAATTTCACCAAAGCGGTCAGACTGACCTGGACTAAACAAACTGGAAGAATAGCGACACAGATCCGCCTAATGGTCGCCGTTTAACTCCATTCATCGTCTCTCCATTATATCCGTTCCCTCTTTGAGGATAGGATTATACGCGGCCTCAGTCACAAAGGTCAGAGGGCCGAGCAGACACTCCCACACCTCCGTGACCCGCTCTGATCCCACGACCTCGGCACCAGCGGGCCCCTGCTCCCGGACCCAGCTCTCCCTCCCCGCCAGTTGACCGGCTTTGTCCTGTTTGTCCCGACCCGTTTTCTGCCGTATCACTCACGCACATCACAGCAAGCTGAACAATCAGGGGATGGAAACTTGATTACTGAGTGGCAACACCGCAATCCACACAACACACAAACAACAGCAAGAAAAAATGAATTTTTAATGCAATTATTCTGTTTTATGATCTTTTACTCCATTTAACTGGACTGAATTCGATCATTTCCCATATCTTGATAATTTCCTGCATTGCTTCTTCGCTTTTGTGTTGGATCTTATTTCTGTCTCAGTATGTGTATTAAACATTTATTCACTCACTTAGCAAACAAACAAAGTAGTCAAGCTTTTTAATTTGGTAGACTGGAAAATCATCTCCAATAGATAAAGGAACATTTCGTGTACATTTTCATAATATTCCTGTAGAGCTCTGTGTTTACAGAAAATACTCATTAAACCTTCTCTAGCAAATAATAATACTCTTCATTAAGCCCTTTGGAGCCTCGTATCGCCCTGTCAGCAGTTGCTACAAACATCTAAATGAACAAAATAAAAAAGACCAAAATACATACAGATGTACTAATGAAAGAACTAAGTATTTTTAGCCAGTGAGTAAAAATAACCCATTGTGGTTTCCTATCAGACATGCACTCACGCTGCTGGAGGGATTCCTGAAGAGCAACTGCTGCATCATGTAATATATATTTGGTATGTGTATATATATATTGATCTATATTTTCATTTTCCAATACTTATTAGTTTCCATAAAGGTCAATAAGGACCAGACCAAAATTCAACTGAGAATTGATTTTCAGAGTCTTCATCCAACATGAGCCAGTGTATAACTTTTATTTTAAAAATTTGAGTTTCTTTGCATATTTGTTAAAATTATTATCATGTCATGACCGTTTATTTTGAGACAGATAATCTATGAGAAAAATCAAGCTCCTCCCTGAGCTACTAAATGTGCTAAAGGCGGAGAAACATCTTGCCGTTACAGGAAAACTGTTTACCCGTCATGGCCATGCTAACTAGCCTTAGCATTTGTGGCAAGGCTAAGTTGTGGTGAACCAGAAGTGTGTACACAAGGACAACTGACAGCACTAAGACCCTCCTCCTGGCTCTGATTGGTTGTTTCCTGACGTGCTAGATGAGCTCAATTTTTTCACAAATTATCTGTCACATATTATACCATCACGTGTCTCACAACACAGTGACAGTTTTAACAATTAGGTAAACAGTATAGATTCTTAGAAAAGTTGCAAACCGCAGCTTCAAGTGTGCAAAACTGTCAGAGATGACTTGCAGGTATAATTGCAGTGAGCCTCGTTTATGGTCGACATGTGGGAGTCCTGATGGTTTTCGAAACATTCGGTGGTTAATGCTTTAAGAAACTGACAAATGTTATCAATGTAAGGTTTAAGCTAGTTAAAGAAAACGGAACTACCCGATTTCTAACTGCGAGAACAGTTTCATACTTGTATTGTGTTGGTTGTTGTTATCTATGTCCTACATGCGTAACAAAATACTATTTGTTCACCAAGAAAGTTCTTTAAGAAGCTGCTTTACTAATTTTGATTGCAGTGCAATCGTTCAACCAAAATAATATAAGTAGTAAATGTTCAGTTTCAGTGGTGAAATGCAATTGAAATGAAACACCAGGAAGAGTAAGACAGAAGTTTTGGAGTTGCAAAGCCTCTTTGCATATGGAGGCTGTTTGGTTAGTTGAGCAGGTGATGGAGTTCACCTGCCCCTGGGCCTTTCACCTGTCACAGGACTGAACTCTGCATCCCAAACTTACTATGCTCACCGTCAAGAATGCACCTCTGACCCCACCACTCGGAGTGGGTGTGTGTGTGGGTGGGTGTGTGGAGCAAAAGGGGAGGTACATGGTGTATGGTCAGGATCCAGTTTTCCAACATTTGCAGACCCCCAACGGCTGGATGCAGAAGAGAACTGACTGACCCGAGAGTTTTTGTTTGGATTTCTGTTGCTCTGTGTGTGTGTGCGCATGTGTGCGTGCGTGCGTGTGCATGCGTGCGTGCATGCGTGCGTGCATGCGTGTGTGGGCGTGTGTGTGTATGAGTGTGCATTTGTTTTTAATACCTTGTGGGGACCATTTTCCTGACACTACATTGTGGGGTCCCACTGCTCCCTGTGGGGACCGAAGCCTGCGCCCCACAAGGGGAAACACTGTTTTTGGGTCAGGGGTTAGCACTAAGGTGTGAATTGAGTTTTGGTTAGGGATAGGTATGTAAGGGTTAGAGTTAGGATAAGGATAAGGGTAAGGTTTAGGCTGTAGAAATGAATAGAAGTCAATGGAAAGTCCCCACAAAGGTAGCCACGCAAACATGTGTGTGTGTATGTGTGTGTGTGTGTGTGTGTGTGTGTGTGTGTGTGTGTGTGTGTGTGTGTGTGTGTGTGTGTGTGTGTAAGAAAGAGATCACCTGGGAAAGTCTCTGTCACGTTCGCAAGGAAGGTCATGGAGTTTAAGATCAGAGCAATTTGCATCCATGATTGAAAGTTCATGATGGAAAATCAGCAACACATTTTTTATTTTTTTGTAATTTATTTACCCTTAATGATCTGTTAAAAGAGCATAAATGTGTTTTTTTTTTATTCAAGGAATTTAAACAATTACATTAAATCACTTCATAATGATTTAAGTAGAATGAGTCTCAAAATATGAAAATAAAGTTAGAAAATTCAAAAATATTTAATAATGTAAAACTGTATGACATCATTTTTATTTGAACATGTAAAATTTCATTCGGCATCATAGAATTGTATCATGATGTGTTTGTGTAGCAAATCCTGTAGCATTAGCATTTTTATCATAAGACAACAGAAACACCCTCCATCCATCCATTTTCTTTACCCTTGTCCCTTAGTGGGGTCGGGAGAGGTGCTGGTGCCTATCTCCATCTAACGTACATCAGAAACAAACAAATATAAATAAAAGAATAAACAAAAAAGTAAGCAACAATCAAAATAGTCAAACAACAAAATAAGTCATGTCAATGTGTCTGAAAGGAAGTAGGAAGAAGCATATTCTTATTTAACCTCCTTAGATGAATCCACTGAAGGACCTACTCCTGCCTTTAACTCTGGACTCTAGTAAACATAGAAGCCCCTTCACATCAGAACCCTACACAGGTTCTTCTGGAGGTTTCTCTCTCCAGAGTACATAGATACTCTGGAGTACAATAGGGGAGTACATGTAGCATATTGCTACATGTATGCGTGGTACCAAAGTCAATAACACAATTCAATCAACTGTTCATCGTCGCTGCCTGCTCATCCAGGAGGAACGACTGCTGCAAGTCCATGATTTCATGAAATCTGCTGGGATTTCTGAGACTTTCTAACCCCAGAAAAAGGTCACCCAAAGAAACATTTACACACCAGACATGTTGGTTCTGTGAGGTAGACTTTGAATCTGTCTCTGTAATGGATTGAGTTGATTTTTTTTTTGTGACGATATTTGATGGTAAATGGCAATGTAAACGCACACTAAGCAGAACTGAATTGTAGCCGTTATTGTATGTGTGTTGATACACTTTACAGTTGTACATGATAATGAAGCTTCAGTTCAATAAAAAAGTCAAACTCTAAATATCTGGGTTTTTAGCTTTGATTTAAAGGAACTCTGTTTCTGCGTATTTGCAAGTTTTCTGGAAGTTTGTTCCAGATTTTGGAGCACAGAAGTTAAATGCTGCGTCTCCATGCTTGGTTCTGCTTCTGTTGATGTTTACACAACACCAGCAGACCTCTAATGTATTTCATTGTTAAGCCATTCAGGGATTTATAAACTAACGATGGTATTTTAAAGTCTATTCTCTGAGCTAGGACTGGTGCAATGTGCTCTACCTTCCTGGTTTCAGTGATCTTGTGGCGTGAGCAGCTCCACCGCTGAACAAACTGCAGTGACCTCAGAGCTCATCCTTGTCTCTCATTACTAAAGCACGAACAGGACTGATGTGTTCCTGCCCGGGCTCCCTCCCCATCAGCGGCGAGGCTGAGGTTCTGCGGATGAGGCTGAGACAAAGCGAGCGTAATTCCTCGGTTCAGGTTTCACACTGCGGTCACCGTGGGGAGGTGGAACGGCTGGGAGAAAGTGGGGATTGTGGGGAAATGAGTGAGGATAAAGAGCCGAGTCCTGCGGTTTGTCTGACCGCAACACAAGAGCATCTTTTCCCTCCTTGTTTTTCGCCCCCCTTTAATCCCAGGCCTCTTCCTCCTCCTCGCCTACTCCGAAGAGGAGGAGAAGGAGGAGGAAGAAGACGACAACAGGGCAAGGTCTGCAGAGACGACTGGAAGCTTCACACAGCATACCATGAGAAATGTAATTAAAAACTCACAGTTAATTGGCTTTTTACATGATAAAGCGCCATCGCCTCATACACGAGAGCCTCTCGTTGCCACAGGCCTGGCCCATAGTAAAGCAAACACGCAGCTCATGCAGGCCCTTTGTTGTTGAATTTTCAGAGCTAATCATCTTATACTTAATCTGAATTTCTGGTTGGGTCTTAGAAGAGCTTTCAGTTCCTCATAACTATTCATATAAAGCAGAAGAAGATGGCTCAGGGAACAATCAGTTTTAGTCTGAACTTGATGTGGGTGCTCCGTGTTTCTAATGCTGATTTTATTGGAGGTTTTTCCTCTGTGGAAAAGGAAGATTACAACTGCCAAGGATTTTGCTATTGAATGTGTTTTGTATTTTCTGAGCAACTCACTTTGTTCATATTGCATGTTTGGTGGGGGCATTTCTGAAGAAGAAAATCAACCTTACGCATCCATATCCTGCCAGAATTAGCCTTGCCATTTCCTTCCTACGTGATTCCACATGATTTTTGTCTCTCTTCGGTGTTCCTCTTGATTTTTCTCCCATTAACTCAAATTCTCTCCATTAGAATTTCAACTGAGCCAACCAGCGACCAGAAGGAGAAATTGAGAACGATAACATTGATTTTCTGTGCTGTTTTACAATTGAAATCTGCCTGTAGTCAATGTTAGTGATTGGGTAAAATTTAAGACTTCAGCAGAGTTCACACTGTTAATGCACACCTCCAGTTTTCTTGCTAACTGACAAAAACAAAAACACAAGAAGAAGAAGAGTCCATGCCTCCAGGAAGTAAACATTTCTGAATAGCCAAGGGACCAACACCTCAGTACGAAGCAAAGCGTAGAACAGGAGTCTGTTTTTTCTCAGGCTAACATTTTGTAAGATAAAATAAGAATGACTCTCCTCCTCTCTATTTTGAAATATATTGAAATACCTTTTCTTCTCCAGAAACATTCAAAGGAAACCTTTGTTGTTTTCAGTCTAACTCCTCCATCTCTGACTGGTTGCACTTGTTTCAGTCAAGTTTATATTGAATAAGGTGTTTGAGTCCTTTCCCTTTATTGTCCTGTTTAAGGTTCAGAGATGCAGTATAATACAAGGCCAGATTACAGTTATCAAATGCAAACAGGTACAAAGAGCATCATTTCCATCAGAAATAAGACATGTCTGGCTGACTAATGAAACTAATTGGAGTGTTTAACCATTGGTACCATGACCAAGCCTGAACTCAAATGTGAAGCATGGGAGCAAACACAAAGGCAGAGTCTCCCACCAGATAATTTAAAGTGGTAGTATTATGTATTTTCCAGGCACATAGTGCCATTTTTATAACGTAATAAAGTAACTATTAAATCAGTTGTTTAAAAAATGCTTTATATATCAAATATGACTTAAAAGAAATGCTACCTTGTTATTTAACACCTTGAAATTGGGCCTCTGTCTCTTTAAAAACTTGTGCTCTCTATTAAGTCATCACATCACTTCTCTATAACCCTTTAACAACGTTTTTAACTGAGAAGTAGCTCCTATAACGAGCTCAGAGGATGTGCAGTTCCACCAGAGGTTTGCTAATTGCTGCTGGCTAGTCTGAAGGAGTCGAGTCAGGGAGTCGTAGAAAAAGGCTGCTCTGTCAGGCAGAAGCTCAGAAACTCAGAAGCTGCAGCTCTGAGGCGGAGCTGAGTCCCAGAAGGCGGGGCTAGGTCCACTCAGGCGTTTTGCTCAGTTGAATGGTTGCCATGGAGATTAAAGGATTTCTCAAACATGCATGAAAAAATTGAGGCAACACTCCATGTAGGTTTTTGATGACTGAATAACATATATAAAGCTAAAAAAATTTTTTTAAAAAAAGTCGATTTCACACACCTGAAAATCACTGAGACGTTTTCTAACTCAACACGACTCTGTTGAGGATTTCTCTGTTAGCTTCCACACATTCGATTCGCTCTTTGGCTTCAATCTTCCAGATTATTCTAAAAGCGGTTAAGCTCACTCAGTGAGCGCTTTGTTCACAAACAGACTCGAGGAGTTGAAAGGACAGCCTCGTGTCACAGGATTGCATCACGCCGCTCCAATATCACTTCTTCCATTATAGTGGTAACCTGTTAATGTGTGAGCAGCTCATTCTTATTGCTTTTTACACCTGAGCATGTGGCCTGCAGCGTCCTCGCCGAGGCCTCGCACACAGGATCTCAAAGTCCACCTCACCGCCACCTAAGCGCACTGGTCAGAAGCAACTCCACGGCTCTCATTGGCTGACCAATCCCGGAACTGTGAGCGCCGCCATTGGCTGCGTCCGTCGTCCACACCCTGACCTGTGCGGTTCCGAGGAGCGGCTCAGGTAGGTGTGGACGGCAGGAAGAAGACAAAGGGCACGCAGGGAAGAAGATATCAGCTTGCTGCAGGCCCTGGCGTGCCGCATTCTGCTCCGTATATCACCTTACCTTGCATAATTGGGTCCATTATGGCGCTAACCGTGGCGCCCAGCGTGCTGAGCTGATCGGAGATGTTACCGGTCCGCTGCGTCACTCTGTTATTTTTTCTCTCCTTGGGTCTCTGCGGACAGAAGCGGGCCGAGGGGAGGGGGGCGGGGGGGCTGCTGTCCTCACTTCCTCCTTCTTCTCAATCAAACAATGGTAATTGGTGGTAGTGGGCGTGTGTGCATCTGGCGCAATAACCTCACCACCACCACCACCACCCTTTACTCTTACCCCTTCATCTCCCCAGCCCCCCACCCTGTTGAAAGCTCATTAGCGGACCTGCTGTTAATGAGCTATAGTGGGATCACACAACTTCATTTTCATTTAGGAGGGCTGGGCTTCAGACCAGAGATGCTGCTGTAGCCTGTTATTTATTTATTTTTTTTGTGCCCCTTAGAATGGAGTCACCAATTATCCCAACCCCTTGATACACACCCCTCCCCCCCCCCCCCCCCCAAAACCGCAAAACGAAAACCCCCCCACTCCCCCTCCCCTCCCTCTGGTACAGTCACGCATCCTGAGAAATCCCCGTCACTCCTGTCCCATCACAGCTTGCGTGAACTGAACTACAAATGCATTCAGCAGGAGCAGCAGTAGTCCGGCGCATGGTGCCGCTTCCCACCCCACCCCACTGGGGTGGGAAGCTGGGTGAGCTGCGGTACAATGTTTGGAGATGAAGCCCTGCAACATCAGACGGATGTAAACAAGGACTGAGGGTCCCTAATCCAAACATCTACATTAAAAATTAAAAAGTCAGCACTGAGCGCGGTCCTCTGAGAAAGAGCCCCTCCTCACACGACTTCCCAGAGAGGAAACCGTTCCAGCAGAGGCTTCCAGAAGTATTCATCAACTTTCACATTTTAGTCACTTTCCAAAAACAAACTTTTTTTTTATTTTATGGGATTGTATGTCTACGACAGACTTGCAACCTGTCCAGGGTGACCCCACCTCTCGCCCGGAACGTTAGCTGGAGAGGCACCAGCAACCCTCCCGACCCCACTAAGGAACAAGGGTGTAAAGAAGATGGATGGATGGATGGATGGATGGATGGATGGATGGATGGATGGATGGGACCGACAAAAATAATGTGAGCTGAAAGGAAAATAAAACAAGGTTTTAAGCTTTATTGGGGTTTTTTTGTTTTTGTTTTTTCAATTAAAATTTTGAAACGTGTTATCTGAATTCATATTTAACCCCTTTTACTCTGATACCTCAAAATAAATTCCAGTGTCGTTTCCTCCAGAAGTCATTTGTAAAGTCCCACCTGATCTGCGTGTCATTTAATCTCAGTATTAAACTCTGAAGGCCGCCGAGATTTGTTAGGGAGCATTAGACAATTTCATGAAGACCAAGGAGCAGTAAGAGAAAAAGTGTTAGGTTATACACAATATCCAGAGATTTACAGATATCACAGAGAACTGCTCAGTCTGTGATTTAAAAATAGAAAAAGTACAAACAAGTCATAGTTGTTGACGCAAGTTAGACAAGCAGCCAGGAGGCCTGTGGTAACGGGAGGAGCTGCATCAACAGCTCAGGTTGGAGAATCGGTTATTTGGGGTACATTTCAGTTTGACAGGAAAGTCATTTCTGAAAGAAAGCAAATATAGGACCCATTTGTAGTTTGCACAAGTCATGAAAAGGACATAGCAAACTGGTAAAAGAACTTTCTCTGGTCCAATGAGGCCAAACTTCAACGTCTGGGTTTGTATGCAAAACGTGTGTTGAGGATGGTGAAGTCTGCACGTTAGGATGATGTGTGAAGCATGGCAGTGGCAGCGTCAGGCTGTGGGGATGCTTTCCTTCATCGAGGACATAGAAGCTCGTTAAAAGTATAAAAAGATGGATGGAGATAAATACAAGACAATGTTCGAAGAAATCCTGCTAAACGTTTGAGACTGGGACAGAGGTTCAAAAAATAAATCCAGCGCCACAATAGAATGGCTTAGATCGCAACATATTCATGTGCTGGAATGTCCTAGTCAAAGTCTACACCCAAACTCAACTGAGAAGGTAAATTGATGGTTCAGATGCTCTCAAAGTAACATATGGTTGATTTCTACTTACTTTTGACATTTTTAATTCTTGAACACTTATTTTACTTCTAGTTACGATTATACAGTTAAAATACTAAAGTCTGCAACAAACTGTGGAAAACTTAAGGAGTCGTGGTTCAACAAATGACTACTGAAAATATGAAAATAAATAAATAAGAGACCCAACAAGAGAATATACTTAACCTCAATTCTTTATTGAGGTTTTGTCTAGAAGGCAATAACAAAATTACATCCTTTTACACAGACAGTCACTTTTGGGCATAAAAAGAAAGGAGTCAGCCATGCTGGGGGAAAGTGAGTATCATGTAACAGGAGCAGGCAGGTATCCACAACAAGAACAGCAAGAAAATATGTACAACATCATCCCTGAACAGTTACACTGCGATCATTCATTAATCATTTTTTAAACAAAATGCACAAACGTTTTTAATGACCTGAATGTATTCAGAGGTCAAAAGATTGATGAAAAACAAAAAAAATAAAAGTAGACAAATTCATTGAGGTTTTACTGTGAAAATAAGCTGATTTTAAATGTTTTTAGATCAACTTGGATTTAAAAGTGGTCACAAATAATAAACACAAACTCAACATACTGATTATGACTATTGATGCTAATTTCCACACCCTCACACCCCTAAGTGCTCGCTTGGTGGGCTCACGTTCCCCGGCAGTGAAACAAAACGACCCGCCAACATGCAGCAGCCATAAATTAGGAAGAATTCAAAGGCGGACAACAGAAATTACGCAAACGGCTACGAAACATGCACGAGTTTCACGTGGCCGCCCGGCACTTTTAACCAATGTAAACAACGAAAGAGAGAAATTACCATCACAACAGTACAGAGGGGGGAAATGATACACACCCGTTTCATATGTATGCAAAAGTTGCTGGCTTTTATATATATATATATATATATATGCATAGAAACTAATCTTACAAAACATCAGCAGATGAGACTTTAAAGTCTCTGTATTCACATTTATAAAAATTAGAAAAGCAAAGACAAAAAGGTTCCATGTGCAGTGGAGATAAAAAAAAAAAATGAAGTCCACACATCCTGGTGAAATACCAAGATTTTAAGATTCTAAAAATGATTATTATTTTCTTACCAGAAAATAAACAACTGATATAAAGTGAAAACGTATGATAAATAAGTTGCAATAAACTGGATGCATTAGTGTGAAGCACTTTTTAATTAAGTCACACCTGACACTAATTATAGAGATCGACTGTAACTGAAGCTCAGCTGGTCAAGCAGGAGTTTCATGACGCCCTTCAGCTGAAGTCACAGTTTGCAGATCTGATTATACAAATGTATCAGTCAGGAGAAGGGCACAAAAACAAGTTGGAATCTATCCAAAACTATTCACAACTGGGGGGGGGGGGGGATAAATTATTTTGCCTGGAAATTATTGGAGCCCAAGGTTGATTTTGGTCCAGATGCTGCCAGCA